CGAGGCTTCATTTTGTTTTTTCTCCATTTCTGGGTAATTGTGTTCTTTGATAGGTAGGTATAATTGTTTACCTAAAAGTGTTTAAACTCAGGCGTGGAAGAGAGACAAAAACCACGCCTGGATGAACAGGAGATGTGCTGGCCGTACTGACTTTCCTTCGGTGTTAATAACAGTAGCTCAACCACTTGGTCGAGGCCAGACGTTGCGTTGCTGGCTGTACCGTCTACGTCGTTACGGTAGCGGGTTTGAAACTGCTGGCGGCAGTCCCCTTACCGGCCAGACCCATTATTAATTATTATTATTATTATTATATTATTATTATTATTATTATTATTATTATTATTATTATTATTATATTATTATTATTACTGTATTTCACTCCTAGAGGAAGGGATGAGCTTGACCGGAACTCTGCCTGAGTTCTAAGGTCTTTAGTCGGAAAGGGTTTTCCGCAAAATGTGGGCTGTTCCTAGCAGTGCTATCTTTTGAACTTGTGTTGCAAAGACATCTCCGGGGAGTTCTTTTATGTTGTTCTTGAATGACATAGTGGCAGTCCCCAAAGCTCCGATGATCACGGGTACCGTTCTTGTCTTTGTCTTCCACATGCGCGATATTTCGATTTCGAGGTCTTTGTATTTTCTGGCCTTTTCCGCTTCTTTGGTGTTGACGTTGTTGTCGTCTGGTACAGATACCTCAATTAGCAGACATGTGTTCTGTGTTTTATTATGGTAAATAATATCAGGTCGGTTGGCGGAAATCGTACGGTCGGTAATGACTCCTTTGTCGTACATAATTAATGCTTCGTCTGTCTCTACTGCTTCTTCAGGAGAATGATCATACCAGTTGTTGCTAACTGGTACTTGGTGCTGCTTGAGGATAGCCCAGTGTATGTATTTAGCGACGTTGTTGTGCCTTTCGGTGTATTCTGTTGGTGCCAGTGTTGAGCAGCCTGAAATAATGTGGCTTATATGTTCCTCACATTGATGGCATATTCTGCATTTGCTGTCGACATTCTGTTTCAGGACCATTCTTCTATGGTAGCGCGTGTTAAGTGCCTGGTCCTGTGCAGCAATCAGTAGACTTTCAGTCTCCGCCTTCAGTCCTGTACTTTTCATCCAATCCAGGGACATGTGTTTATCTACATTGGTTTTGTGTAGGTTATTGTAGAACTGTCCATGGAGTGGTTTCGATTTTAGGGCGTTGACTTTTTCTGTTCGCATGGCCTCCTTTACTCTGAGTTTCAAGTTGTCCGCTGACTGATCTTCGTTCAATTGGTATGCATATTGTCTTTTCATGGCTTCCCCGATCTTTGTAATGGAGTATTTAGCCTTTTGT